TATCTGTCTGTCTGTCTGTCTGTCTGTCTGTCTGTCTGTCTGTCTATCTGTCTGTCTGTCTGTCTATATATCTGTCTCTATCTATATATCTATCCATCTAACCATCTAACCATCTGTCTGTATGTCTGTCTGTCTATCTATCTGTCTGTCTGTCTATATATCTGTATCTATCTATCTATCTATCTATCTATCTATCTATCTATTTTCCTAATAGACTGTATAACTTCAAAGCATTTTTCTTCAAGCTTATAAAACTCTTTCAATCTTTCTGGCCTGGCTTTCTCAACCCAGCTTCAAAGATTGTCTTGACCAACTTTTTTTATCTAGTTGTTTTTTTGCTCTTTCAGATGCTCTCCGGTGTCATCTCATCGATTGCCTAACTTGATCCTAAATAGGCGTAACTTATGTGACATTTGAAATGTCATGTTCAGAATGACTAAAATCCAGCAGAGACCAAACAACAGCTTCTCGTTCTGAAACATCCTCACCGTTACTGATCTTGCATTAAAACATCGTCGCTTTGCACACTTTAGTATTTATTTGAAAAAGAAATCACTTTACATCATTCAAACGTGGCGATATAAAAAAGAAACAGTGTTACAGCTCTTTAATGAAAACACAAGATATTAACTCTTAAAAAATGTTCTAAAAATTGTCAAAATGACACAGCATGACATAATACTGACTGATATCAATTGTGAATATAACATCATTTGCAATATCCTAAAGCCATAAAGTGCTTCGATATATATGATGGTATTTCACCATCACGGCCAATTTAGAAACAGCATTTTTTCCTCAATTTACCTCCTGGGACCCAGTTTAAAATGTGCTGTTATTACATGAACAACAAGGAATTCTATGGGTAACACTAGTTATTTACAAATGCATTTAGTTGTTAAATAAAGGTGACAAATGTACCTCTGACTACATACAATCTACCAAACAATTAATGTTCAAGACAGCCCTTAGACGTTATGGGTGTAAGAAGTATAAATATATGCCTTATATACCACAGAAGACAATGTTCCTGGATGACGGCTCTGTGTGTAACACTTTTCTGCTTTCCTATATTATTTTTTACCTAAACAAGACACAAGCAGTGGCTTTTGATGGGTTTACATCATAATAATTGTGTGGGTCTGCTGAACAAAAGTACTTCAAACTTTGTCATCTTCTTAGTACTAGTAGTATTAACAGTGATGTTAAAGTGAAGTTAAATAGTACATATAAGACTTTGTTGTTTAGTGTTGGAGAGGTGAATCTCAAAAAAATTATGTCTAGGTCTTTTTTTAGCCCCCCCAAAAAATAAAAATAAAAATAATAATATTAAATATTAAAGACCCATTTCATAATTATTATTTTTTTTAATTTTTATTTATTTATTGTTTATAACAATTTAGTGCATTTATCCCAAAATTCTTATTTGTTGTGCTTTGCTGATTTTTTATTTATTTATTTATTTTTTACATGCATTACTTTATATTAACATATTTATATTAAAATTTGCAATTTTGGGATGAAATGTCACCTGGATGTTTTTGTAAGATTCACCTTAATACCTTGGCTGAGTCATAATTTTACTCTTTGATGAAAACATCAAAACTAACAAGACAGTGATTACATGTGCTAAAGGAAAAGTAGACATTATAACAGTACAGCATATAAATAAAACCTTGTCCTGCAAGGCTAATACCACAAAACGGGTGAACGTTAAAAGTCTGACAACCCATATGATGATCCAGTGTCTCCCTTTCAACAACACAACACTTAACAGATCATTCATAAAATAAAAAAAATAAAAAAAAGTGGTTGCAGTGTAAAGCACCACTTCCAAAAAACGTGTCTTAGTTCAAAAATAAAAATAATTAAAAACCTGTAAATTCACTTTTATGGTGTTTTCTTCATCAATGTCATTGTAAAACTTTGATGAACGAATTATAGGTATGGTATGACTTATTGAAATGAGAGAATAATTCAAATACAGAATGCCTTTTGATCCAGCCGTACACATCTGGCTTTGATAAACCTGTGTTTTTCAAAATAAGTAAATAAAGTATGATTTTGTGGGTCAAGCATCCACTTGATCTATGGGCATTACTTCACACATAATTCAATATCATACATGATTGCACAATTATTATTTACACCAAGCCGAAATAAATAAGGCAATGTTCAGAAATCATACACTGCTTTTAACCGTTCATAACTACGTCCTAATAATATATAATTCATTTTAGCTAATGGATCATTTGTAATATGTGATGTAATATTAGCATAAGGCCACAAATGACAATCAAATAAAATGATTCGTTTGAACCCTGGTTTTAATAAAAGGGAATTTGCACAAAGATTCTTACTCCTCAAATCATTTGTTGTCAAATATGGAAGTGCTACTATATGGATAATACAAACTGTCCATCGCAGTTTAAAGAAATCAATATGGGTGATGCATGGAAAGAGATGGATGCGCGGTCCTTCTCAGTGAACGTCGCTTTCTGCGAACTCCTCCTTAATGGAGTGCTTGTGTAACCTGCAGTCGGGCATGTCAAAGCCGAAGTCAGCCCACTCCTCCGCTCCTGTGGGGGCGCTGCGGTTGGGGATGGTGATGGTGTGACGCACTCTGAAGTGCACGGCCTCCATGACACGCTGCCGCTGCAGCTCTCCTCCGGCGCCGAGGGCCATGCTGGCCATGTTACTGCTGGAGCGGATGAGCTGCTGGCCGTAATCCTGGCCCTGCTTCATGTCCTGCAGGCCCCTCCAGATCGCCAGCCGGAACTGCTCAGGGATCTTCAGCGCCCCAAGATCCTGAGGAACACAAGCTCGCCAGTTACAGTGAATGCCATTCTATGAAAGCGGCCCATTTCATGGCCTTTGTGAATAATATCATTCTATTACAAGAATAATATTTGTATCAGTACATTTAGGGTGGTTATATAAAAATATGCTGCTGACCAGTCAGAATCAAGTATTTCAGAGCAACTGCCTATTTAATGCAACAGTGGGATTCAGGAAGAACAAAATCTATTCAATTTATCCATAGATTTGATAACTTACAAACCTTTGAAGAAAGACCTGTTGTGAGCTATGAGGTTGTTAATCAACTTATTTTTAAAATAATCATGTTTAACTGCAAAATTCCACCAAACATATATAGTCGCAGTCAATCTCACTATGCTGTCAAAGTACTTGTATATTTTTATGTATATACAGTATGTATTTTGTAAACTTAAAATATATTGTTTCTATAGTTGTAATACTGAAT